ACTATGGGGCCCCGACGCGGACGAGTTCGACCCAGAACGATGGCTCGACCCTGCGCGTGTAGCAAGGTTCGTCGCTAACCCATCAATGTTTGCGGCATTTAGCGCTGGGCCTAGAATCGTGAGTCTTCTCCTGCTTTGTCTTTCTATCTTCTAGCACAGCACCTGACTGCGCGTAATCAACAGTGTATTGGCCAGAATTACGCGTACAATGAAGCCTCGTATTTCCTTGTAAGGCTCCTGCAGAGGTTCGACGGGTTTACATTGGCGTCGGAAGTCCAGCCCGAGGGGTCTCTTCCGCCTCCTGAATGGAAACAGCGAAAGGGACGACAGAGTAAAGAGAAGATATGGCCGTCGGCGGCTATGACGTTGTATGCCAAGGTCGGTTCTTGATCCTCCTTCTTGTACCCGAGCCTGCACTAATGTACTTTTGGAACATACAGGGAGGATTATGGGTCAGATTCCATCGAGCGTGCCCGAAATGATACATGTGTGACGAGGGCTGAACCCCTCCCCTCGCCTTTCACCTCCCGACTGTTTCTATTATTCCATGACGCTTCATGATATATCGTGCGGCGACTAGATGCACAGCTCCGCACAACGACTGTTGGCCATTTATTTAAGGACTGGGTCTTTTGCAATAAGCAGATGAACCTTTGAAGGAATATACCCTCATGCGGACTACGCGCTTTTAGAACTTAAATTTCATTGTCCTTTAATGTACACGCATTGCAGGTTCACAGTCTCGAGATAAATATATACCAAGTTGATGAACAAACGTATGGACAAGGATCGTGCTGACACGCGGACTGCGCGCTCCAAGAAACGAATGCTAATTAATGTCCTTGATACGTGCCCCATTACATGTAAATGTGTTCTCGAAATATAGATCAAATTAATGAACAAACGTGTGGACATGTCCTTGACATGCACCCCAATATCAGTGTACTCTCGAAATAGATGATGAGCAAACCATGTGGACATGTCCTTGATATGCACCCCATTGCGCACAGGTGGAAGCGCGTCTACTCCCAAAATACACATCAAATTGATGAGCAAACATACAGATAAATACACAACACCGCAGATCGACATATTATCAGAAGTTGGAGTGATTGGACGGCAAGTTAACGGCATTTATTCGGAACGTCTGCGTCGATCAGTCACCCTCGAGCACCTTGTTCCTTCGCGGCCTTACACCTGTGTCAACACAAGCTGTCCGGGGTACTCCGGCCAACTCGTCGGGAACTGATTGTACGCTACGGTGTTGGGCAAATCGCTGTAGAAGCTCGCCTTGAGGCCGAGAGTCTGCGTGATCTCCTGGACCATGGCGATCGGCGCGCTCGTCGGTCCAGTGTGGATGAACGCAGCCTGCTTGTTCCTGGGGGTCGACGCGCTGTCGGGGAACGCAGAGGGTCTGTTATTCAGAGCGTTCAACGAGTCAATCCGGTACGCAAGCGGGGGAAAATGAGGTACGTACGTGAAGCTGTTGTAAGTGTTTTCAAACGTAGCGATGAGGTCTGCGAACGTGAAGTAGCTGGCGGACGAGGTAGACGACCAGGTGCCGGGGTTCAGCGTAACCTATATCCGCACAGAATTAACACTGGATTGACAAAGCAGACACACGCACGAAGGCACTAGAACCGAGCTGTGTCCTCGCACGGGACGCGTAACTCTGATACTTGGACACTGAACCAGAGTCGGTCGCGGCCTCGTCGAAAAAGATGCCTTCGACGCGGTACGCCGCGGCCCAGCCGGCGTAGGTGTCGATGTCGGCCGTGACAGCGCTGGCGTCGCGCGCGCCGTACGCGGTCGACACGTACCCGATCATCTTGACGTTGCCGCCTACCGCGCCGGCCATACGCAGCTGTGCGACGCAGGCCTGGTAGTTCGCGTCGGGCTGGGATCCCGCGGGCCCCGGGCCCGAGTTCGGGTTGACGACGACGAGGAATTGGAGTGTTGGGTTGAGAGGGATCCTGTTTCGGAAGACGGTGAGGGTTTTGTTTGCTTTTGGGGTTATGAAGAGGGGGGGCTTACGCGGTGAGGAGAGGGGCCCAGCTTGTGCAGCCGGTGCCTGGGTAGATGTAGAGCGGGAAGATGAGCGTGGAAGGGAGGAGGGCTGATGACCCTGTGCAGGCGCTCAGGATGGTTAGAGCGCCCGTAAGGCGCGTCAAGAATCCAGAGAAACGCATTGTGGTTGTAGTGTCGATACAAGGCAAGTAAGAAGGTGTTTCGATTCGATGGGTGGCCTCGGTAGGAGATAACCTCGATTTATAGGCTGGATACGACGGCGGTCCGTGATTCGAGTTCAGCTGGCTGATTCGGAAGATCTGTATCTGTATTCGTGAGGATTTACATGATTGACGGCACACAGCAAGCGAAGAATATTCGTAACTGTGGTTCCATACGTTAGGCTGTGGTCCCGTACGTTCAGCTGTGGTTCCAAACGTTATGGTTCCATATGGCTCCATACGTGAGCAGCTGCACACGAAAAGAGGTGCTATACTGTTTTCGGCGCGGTCCAAAGAGCCTCCTTCGGTTCAAGCTGAATTGATTTCGCGTAGAGCTTTCCACATGACTAACCACGGTATAACCTGAGTGAGATTCAATTGTATACAGCCCTTAGATAGAGATACAATGACCAAACCACGGTGTAACCTGAGTGAGATTCAATTGTATACAGCCTTTAGATATAGATACGATGGCCAGACAGCTGTAGGTGTCGAGCGGGGCAGCGGCAGGATACTGTCAGGTTATCTACCAAGGCGAGAAACCCCGCAAAAAACTTGTGTCATCTTCGTCGTCGGCTCGCATCACTGCTCGGGGCGATAGCTCGAACTCGAACAAGAAGAAATTCAAATCGATCTGTTAATTGAGAAAAGAAGGCATTGAAACACAAGAAGAACGTGATTGAAGAGCGATAGGCGACAGACAGACTTAGTCGGCAGCGACTAAGACTACGTTCGGTTCAAGCATACAATCCATGTGGCTGTATAGTCCACTCTCGATATGCACAAATTCTGCGTCGGAAGATGCAGCTGTAAGTAAGTAATGGCATGTGAATTTCGCACGACAAACGTCGATGCAAGTCAGCTGGGGAATTGAGAAGGATGCTGAAAGGTAAGGTTGACATTGCGGCCTAGCCAAAGAAACCCCGTGGGTGTCAAGCGTATGCATATCGAAGCTGAAGCGCTGAGGAGAATGTAGTTGAAGAGCAATAGGCGAGAGAGAGACTTAGTCGGCAGCGACTAATACGCAACCCACTCTCGATATGCATAAATTCCAAATTCGCGTTGAAAGATGCACCTGAGACTGTAAGTGAGTAATGACGTGTGCATTCGACACGCGCAGCGCAAGTCAGCTGGGGTTGACAGGGGCTGAAGATGATGCTGAAAGGTAGCTTGACGTTGAGGCTCCGACGGAGCGGCCTCCGGATGACCGAGCCAAAGAATCTTGAAAGAAACCCCGTCGGGTCAAGCATATGCATATGCAGTACAGTCTAGACATCGGCGAATTGGACGAGGAGGCGGACGCGAATGGCGCGGTGTTTGTAGTAAGTACATATGGGTGAGAGATCATGCAGATGGTCTGGAACAAAGTTAACGCAAAACAACGCTCGGTAATTTGATCGCCGGAGGCTCGCGTGCAGCGCAAGTCGCAAGCCGCAAGTCAAAGCGAAAAAAAAAAGATAGGCGCGAAGGTACGGGCGCAAAGGATTCCGTTACTCGTGTCTTGTCCCCCTGTCTGCCAATGTCCGTTTTTTTCTCTGCATCTCTGCATAGCATCGAAGCTATGGTTGACGTCGTCGTGTTTGTAGTAAGTACATATGGGTGAGAGATCATGCAGATGGTCTGGAACAACGTTCACGCAAAACAACGCTCGGTGATTTGATCGCCGGAGCCACGCGTGCAGCGCAAGTCAAAGAAAAAAAAGATAGGCGCGAAGGTACAGGGAAAGATTCCGTTACTCCTGTCTTGTCCCCCTGTCTGCCAATGTCCGTTTTTTTCTCTGCATCTCTGCATAGCATCGAATCTATGGTTGACGTCGCCGGAGCCGCAGAGGATATGCTCCACATACTTCTTAGTTCTTAGTTCCATTAATATAAATGGGAAGATCTGATGGGGTAATTGATATAGCATACAATTTTGTGTACAGGTGTAAGTGTAAGTAAAGGGTAAAGGCACGAGCTTTTCGAGCGACCGACGAATGCAGAGTCGGTCAATCGCAAACGCCTCGTGAAGATGAAGATGTTAGATGTGTTTGAAATGCAACGTAATCAGTCGTAGGACGCGAGACAGTCATGGCACGCCGTCGAGGCACTTTCAAAAAAGCCAATCAGTACATAAGTAAAGACAATGAGCGACGATCGATCACAGCGTGCGCCGGACACACACCTCTCCTTGTCCTCTGTGCAGCAATTGCGACACACCGTCCTCCCACATCCAGGCGCGAGATCAAACTCTGCCAACGTCTGCAAAAAGCCCTCCTGCGACTCCTCGTCCGCGTTCGTGCGCCTCTTCTCGCCGCGGTGGGTGTTTGTCGGATGGATCGAGAGAGCAGGACGTTTGGGCGATGGCGGAGAGAGATTGGGGCTAGGTGAACGCGTGAGCAACGGTGTTGGCGGCATCGAGGACGGGCAGGCGGTGCATGTGCGAGAACAAATGGCGCAGGTCGGGGCGGAGCACCTGACGCAAAGAGTTGTTAATTTAAATTTTATTGGCAATTGGACATGCTCACCGTGCACATGTGAGATGAGTTGCCTTGAGCGTGCGGTGGCAGGATATGCAGCTGGAGATTGCAGCGGGGACAGATTCTGGTTTGACGAGGTCTTTGGCGGGTAGGAGGCCGTTGGAGGGGGACAGCTGGGTGAGTTTTCTGCGCTTGGGGGGACGCGAGAAGCCCATGGTGGACAACTCAGCAATGGATGCCGTCAGCATGGCACATATGGTGTCCTCCTCATGTCTTCGCCGTTTGGGGCCCGGAACACGGTCCGAGGCGAAAAATACACCGAAGGGGAGTCGAACCCCTGCCGCTTGCTAATCCTTTGTACTATTTTGTCAATGGAAGGCAAGCATGATAACCGCTTCACCATCGGTGTGTTGTAAATCCATACATCTAGCGGTACTTACACGGGTTCCCACGGGAGGGCTATTGTAGCCTGTCCCACCCGGTTAATAATATATTGTGGGTGAGGAGTGGTGGGTAGAATAAAGCACTAGATCTAATAATCTATATTGCGCCAATCTAACTCATGATCACCGTTAGTGAAAGTTCCTTTCCTCCCAATTGTTGGCTCACCTAGAGAGTGGTCGACGAGTGAAAGTTCCTTGGGACTGGTTTCACTCGCGCCTCCTCTCTAGGTGGTTCACGTGATTGGCGCGGACTAAGGCCCTTACATTGGTTGCGTGAAAACTGCCGTTTTAACTTAACCAATGCTCAGGGTGTTCGCGAGACGCTCTTAGAGTTCTGAGAATACCG